CTCATTCCTGTCTTGAGCTTCCTGAGTCACTTCTCCTCACTCCCCGCTCTGCTTCTTTCTGAATGGAGTGGGTTAGCATAACACCATATGTTAGAAGAGCAATTCACAATTGATAAAGCCGTTTTGTGCACCAGCTCTCTTCTGATCTTTCATCAGCCTGTGAGGTCCACCAGGCAGGTAACTTAATCCATGTTTCACAGATGAGCAACAGTGGAGGCTTAAAGAAACTCAGGCAGTTTGATCTACGAGAGATAAACACACACACACACACACACACACACACACAGAAGCACACTGCAAGTCATTGTGGAGTTGGGTCTTAAGAATCAGGCTTCCTGTCTTGAGTCTGATGCTCATCCCTACCACCCTACATGTCTAGGTGTCCACGGTATAGGGCACTGGCAAGTGAGACCCTGCAGGACCACCTGTGGTGGCCATTTCTTTTCTTCTTGATGGAGGATGCTTGCTTCTGGGGAGCATTGCACTTTGAATCCAAGGCATTTAAAATACGGATGGGGGATAAGCAGAACTCCAAAGTAGAGGAAGTAGCCTGAATTTGTTCCCCCATCCGAGGCCCTTAACCCCCTCCTCTCACCTTATCTCCAGGTTCCTAAGAAATCCTTTCCTCCATTCCTTGGAGGAACAAAGGATTGATAACAATTCACACTGTTTAAAGGGTTACCCCTCCGGACCTTAGCTCACCTTACAACTATGTGGTCTATGCCTCAACTTACAAGACAGGCACATCCAAATGCATTGTCTTGTGAAAATGAATTAAGGAAATCTCACTAAAATGGAGTCAGGAGGTTCAGCATGGGTAGCTCTCACACCCTTCCATTCCTCATCTATTGCTAATCCAATAGGAAAAGGTGGATTTTGTATGTGGCTACTACTTGACTACCGCAGCAAGAGGAAGGAAAGCTTTCTTCCTCCCTTGGCAACAACCCAGCCAATGAGAGACAGTTATAACTCAGCCAATGGAAAGCCACTATACTTCAAACCCCCAGTTTACTCCAATGGACTTGTCGTTTAAAACAGCCCTTCCAACTTCCAGCTTCCTCTATAATAAAAAGCGTTTCCCTCCTTTGTTTCCTGTACTTACCTATGGTTTTGATGCAGTTTCTCTGTCCTAGAGTGCAGTTCTCTGCTATTCCTTAATAAAACCGTATTTGCTAGTAAAATAACTGGCAGTTTTATTTTTAAGGTTATTAGTCTCCAGGAGAAAGTACAAATTTTTAACAACTGGCATAGCATGGACAACCAATGAGAACAAACCTGGGTCATAGCACTGGGTGGGTCTTGGAGCCCCCCCCACCGCCCCTCCATAGTGCTAGGCATTACCTACAGCTGCTGATCCATGGGGAGGTCTGCAAGAGTCCCAGGAGGGGGGCTGGGCAACCAGGGCCAAGGGGGGTACTTTGGGGAACTCTGGGCATTGGCCATTGCCAGCTAGTGCCAAAGCACTCGGACATTTCCACACATGCACCACCATACTTGTGCACACCATTGTATATTAATGTCAGTTGTCTTGTTTAATCTTTTCTAGGACATGTGGAAGAATATACTACATTTTCTGTTCAACGATGGAGGAAATTGAATCTCCATGACATTCAACAGCTTCTCAAGCTCTCACAGCCAGTATTTCTGCCAGTTGGAGAAGTTCAGGGCATGGAGTACCCAAGGTGGGAGGCCCTTTGTGAGATAGAGGAGGTGGGGCTCCTGAGTAGGCCGAGGGCACCACTGAGGGCTCAGACCCCGCCAGATGTCAGGGAGCCGGGGGTGGGGAAACAAACAGAAAGAAAAGGTATGTGTGTGTTGATGCTGACTGGGAAGTTGAAAGAAGGTGGGGGTGGGCAGACATTGAGAAACTGGGAATAAGCCTGCCCTCAACACAGGTTTGCTGTGGCCAGAACTAGTCCTGAGCGAAACAGAGAAATCATTTTCATGGTTTGCGTTGCCTCTTGCCCTATATGTGAATATTGTCACCCAGAGAATGTGATCACATTTGGAGCACTAGCTGTGGCATTTCATTTTAGAACTAGCTGTGTCTTGTTCATCAGGGGCTGCTGATTAGCCACTGAGGCCTGCCCCCCACTGCCTGCGATTGCCAGGCTGGGTAGCCTCCTGAGCTCTGTGGATTGTGATGTGAGCAACAAGCTGGTGCTTGTTGAAGTAGGGCCTCTCCCTGAAGAATGCTGGGGCCCAGGTGGTTTAAAGAGTAGGAAACTCAATTTGCTCTTCTGGGGATGGAGTCTGAAATGTTAATCAGCACTTGCCTAGAATTCCAGGTACACCCCCCCCCCCCCCCCCCCCCCCCTTGCCCCCAAAAAACCCCCCCCCCCCGCCCCATGCTGCTATTTGGGGCTGGGCAGGATCCAGATTCCTGCCCCACCCCCTACCCTGTTCTTCCTGGAAAAGCACAGACCCTTCTTAGGCCATCAGGCAAAGGCCTAGCTGCTTGCCCCCTGGGAGGGGAGTTGAGCCTCATGGCAACCTGTGCACCAATGGCCCTGCCCAGGCCTCCAGGAGTGGCGGCAGTGTGGGAAGGACTTACGATGTGAAGTGGTATGAGCCTCTCTACTGGGTTTTCCCACAGACCCCAGCTAGGGGCTGGGAACCAGGTTGGCACAGGCCCAGCTGCCCTGTCGATGAGCAAGCCCCATGTCAGGTTTCTTCTGCTGCTGCTCCCTTTGAGAGCACATGCCTTTCCCCAAACTATATGCTCCCTCCCAACAAAGGATATTAATAGGTGCGAGTCTTGCCCCAAGTCCAGGGTGACCCAAGAGACCCCCCCCAAAATAAAAAACTTTTTTCTAGGCACGTGGCCTGTCTGCAAAATGAAATCTTTCTTCCTGTGCACGTTGGCGATGCGTTCACCACAAACCTCTAAACAGAGGCTGACATTTCTTATATTAAAAATGAAATGCAATTCCTGAGGATTAGAATCCTTGGGAGAGTTATCTTCTTGTGTTTTTCCTTGCTTGTCCCTAGGTCTCTGCCAATTTAGAGTCAGAGACAACATGTCACATGATTCCTTTTGAAATTGGGCTCTGGCAGCCGCGGCTCAGCCTACCCACTGCCCATCTGCCTGCTCTGAAGGCGACACAAGCCTGGGGGGGTGGGGACTGCCAGAGAGCACACAAGTCAGAACTGAAATATTTGACTGGACTTGGTCCTAAGAGAGGCGATTTCATTACCCTAAATGTCCTGGAAACCCTGTTGCCTCTGGCGCGAGAAGGCTCCAGTCTCCGTCATCCTGGACAGCAGTCTGAGCTAGCCTTGGCGCCCTTCTGCAAGTGGCTGTAATGTGAGTCACAGGGCCAGTCTCCAGGGAGCCTGAACATGAGGTGGGCACAGAAGAGAAAAGCTCTGTCTTCCCTGGCCTCAGGGGAGACAGGCCAGCAGGCTGGGATGGCCACTGGGCCCCCTGGGATTTGTGGTGGGGATTGAGGGGTGGGCATCAGGGAGGAGGGTGAGCCCCAAGAGGACAGGTCATGCCAGGCCGAGCCCCGTCAGAAATGGCCCCGGTGTTGACTGTTGGGCAGGGCCCGTAATATCAAAACCAGACACTGCCTTAGGACGGAAAGAACATTCTGGATTCTTTCTCACAATCCTTTTCATTTAGGTAAAGGAACAGTGAGGTCCAGATTCATAATTCTTTCCCTTGGTGAAAGCCTTCTCTCATTCAATGAGGGAGCCTCATACTCTTGTGGTGGTTTACTGATGTCACAGACAAAGCATACTTTATTTTTATTTGAACTGGTCAGTTAAAACATTCTATGCAAGGCAAACACTTCATCATGAAATATTTAAATTAAAAATAAATAAGTTAGTTGCATCCTATAGAAATCTCCAGGTGCCACATACAAACGGAGGACATCAGCTATAGACTAAATAAGTTGAAATAAATAGTTTTAGGATACTCTGATTGATATAGGTCCAGCATAAATCACCTACTTGTTCCCTAACTGTGCTCCAGGCCCCATTATCTATACTGTGCAAGACTATGAGTCTGTTGAGACTAGGCCCTCATCGAAAGAGCCCTTCATGCCTGAATCCCCAAATCATGTTCCAACGTGAGGATTGGGTGCTGAGCATCTAAAACAATGACTGAAGGGCAGGGATCAGCAAGGTGAAGGCCCAGAAGCCCAGGCCTCTTATCCCTCCATGCCTCCTTACAGTTCACCTGGAGACGTGGAAACGGGTAACTTAGCAAAAGGTGACAGAGTGGTAGCCTACGAATAACCGTTGAGACTGGTAACGTGGCCAAGTTCTTCATTGTACCAAGACGTGGCGATTTCCAGCCGAGTCTTAGACTAAGTTTCACCATGGAGTGTCTGATTTTGCTAAATGGGTTGGATTAATTTAAGCTTCTGAATTAGAACACCAGCCTTCTGGGGGCAGAGTTGAGGCTATGGATGACAGATATGCAGGACATGTGCCACTAATGGCCTCTACAGGTCGGCATTCCTAACTGACCACTGCACGCCTGCATCTCAGACTCCGCCTCCACACAGCGCTCTAGGCCACCTCTGCCAATCATCTGTGTTTAGCATCTGAGGTGAACATTATTTACTAACCTTGATCCTTCTCTATGTTCTGAGCTATTCTGTGTGAAGGAATAGATACAAACACCAGGCACTGAAGCCTGACACCCATGTGAGTCAGGCACCTCGAGACTAATCATTTAACTGCTTTAAACTGTCATCTATGAAATGGAGAAAGACACCTAACTCAGAGTTGTTAGACAGGGAGAATGTATGTAAAGTGCTCAGTGTCATGTCTGACACACGGTAGGCATTTAATAGATGAGAGCTGTCGTTATATTATCATCATAAGTCTGTCGATGTTAACAATGGGATTGATGATGACATTTCCATTAAAAGAAGGAAAGCACAATATTATATATTAGGTTGAACCATGTGAAATTGATCAGTTGTTTCTGACCTACAGAGATGGCAATTTCTTCAAGTTCAACCCAATACTTAATGATGTATTTCATTTAAATCACTTACTTTTTCCAACTTTATCACATTTTTCCTTTCAAACATTGCCCCCAGAGACATACTCCTACCCCTCAAAACCTTCCTTAAATCAGTTGCTAAAATAAGCAAAGCAATGAGTCTGGTGGACTCGAGGGCCTAGTATCCAGTTCCACTAACTGTCTCTCATAAGGTCTTGGCTTCCCCATCTGTAGACTGGGAATAATTGTGCTTTCTTTAACAGGGATAATGGATGGGAAAGCACTTTCAAAAGTTAAAATCATTTTGCCAGTGCAAGGTATTATTAATTTCACTAGACTCTGCCACTTCAGAAAACATTAGCATTCAATGTTTAATTTTTAATCATGTTTCTCTATAGAAAAGCTGCATGTAAAAGAGTAATCATGCAATCATGCCAAATGATCAATACTGATCTTGACAACACTGTCAAATGGATATTAGAACTATAAGTAAATATATAGTACTTTGTCATTAAAAATTGTACCTTGTCAAGATGAAATAAATGTGATAAGAGGAATAGTAAGAACCACGGTGTTTACAAGTGCCTCAAACGTCAAGCTCTTATATTTATACCAGAAATCACACACATTAGAACAACTCACAAGGAAGACTGAGGAATTGCCTGCTTCCTTCTTTGGAGGTCTTTAAAATGGGTTGGGAAAGTTTGATTGTGGTGTGGTTTTGCTTAAAGATAGGGATATAAACTCTATGACCTCCCAAAGCCACTTTCAGACCAATGGCTTCATTGATTCTAAGAAGGCACACTTTTCTTTTGCCTTCCAGGGGAGTTCCTTGCTTGTACCCTAAACCAGGGCTATTGGTTAGTAAGAGATGGTGATGTGTTTGGACCAGCTACTAGCAGAGGTGAATGTGGCTCAGTTCCAATCTGGAAGTTTTCTCCCCCATATGCAGTGAACTTTGGCCAACTCAGGACACTTGGGGAGGGTCACCTTTAGTCAGCCTCAAAGGCACTGTTGGTAGCTCCCACGTATTCAGACTTCTTCTTGTGCCTTGTCCACATTTTCCGGAGGATGCTAGGGACACCACAGGAAGCGCTTCCTGTCAGTGGTAGGGAGGCTTCTGCTCCCTGGGGAAGGGTCGGATACTCTTCTGTCATCTTCTTGAGATGTCTGGATCTAAAGAAAAGCCAGGGGTAGGGAGGGAGGACAGTCATTTCACAGAGCCAAACTTTTAATTTTTGCCCTCAAGGAGTAGACTGAGCTCTTATTTCCCCTCTGCTCTGTGACCAGGATAGAGGGTCACTGTTGGGACGCACATACGGATGACTTCTTTTGGGGGACCCTCACATGGGGTGAGGGAAGGAGGTGGCTCTGGGCACAGTGGTTCATGGATCTCAAGTTCTGCTCTTGTCCCAAGTTCTCCTTTCCCACCCCTCCCGCTTCTAGACCGACAATCTTGATGGAAAGGGCAAGCTTCCCAAAGCGTAAAGCTACAGAAAGAGCCTGAGCCCTGGGGGTGCATCCTGCTGCTCACCGACTGTGTGGCCTCACCAAGTGACTTAATCTCAGCCAGCCTCAGTTTCCTCATGTACAAAAGGGGGGTCATTTCATCTAACTCACAGGACTTGTGAGGCGGAGAATGAGATAATAAAGCACTGGGCTCAGTGTAGACCTCAATAAAGGTTTATCTTTCTCTTCACTTCCTCTCCCTAGGTGAAAGAAATGGCCTGACTTTTCAAGAGCCAGCCTCCAGGAACACATGGAAATGAGAATGTCTGAGCTCAGAGAGAAAGGAACCGTGGAGAACCCTCGACACAGCTATGTGGAACAGAAAGGTTGGTCTGTGCCGCTCAGTAAGTTGTGGGCTTACTCCAGCCTTCAGCAACAGCTACTGCTGCTCAGGACCATTTGCCACTAGACCTTCAAACAATCCACGTGCCTTTCTGACTTTTCTCCAATTAGGTCCAAGTACATCGAGTGACTTGGTTTTTATAATTCTTTCTAGATTATTTTCTTTCATCTACAAGAGCTTCACATTGGTCTCTTCCTCCTTGGAGTCTAAGCTTCCAGGGTGTGGACACTTGGGTTGATATTTCAGCCCACGGTCCCTCTGGTGTGCACATCTCACATGCTCCCAAGGACGTGTCTTTCCAACTGCTAGACTGTAGGTTTCTTGAAATATAACAGCCACAGTTTGTGCTAAGTTCTTCACATATTGTCCCATTCCGTTCTCACAATAATCCCTCAAGAGGGGTATTATGATCATCCCCATTTTTTGTTTTTGTTTGGAAATAAGTGAGGGCATGGAGGTCATAGCAGGTTAGTGGTGGTGCTGGGCCAGCAAGCAGCTGGGAGTCAAGAGCCCACACCCTTCATCAACCCCTAGGCCCCTTTTCTACTATGTGCAGTATGGACGATGGTGGCGGGGGCATAAATGTGCATGCTGACTTGAGATTCCGACACCTGCTTGTCATCTACTAGTGCAGCCTGGAAGGTAGTGGGGGAATTGCTGGGGGTAGGGGAGGGGACTATCTACTTCTCCTAGTCTAGCTGCTGGTTCTGGATCAGAGTTAACAGTAACGTGGGGGTTATACATTTGGTTTGAAACTTGTGTATCTTACATATTTCTTTACCTTTGGGCAGGGGCCCTTCACCTAATTCACGAGGCATTTCTGACACCACTGTGCCTACCAGGAGGCTCTGAATATGACCTGTGATTACATTTATCTAATTAACCAAAAACCCTCCCGAATGACACTTCTGCAAGTCTAAAAAGTGGTGTTAATGAAGTGGAAACCATCAAAAACACTTCAGCTTAATCCTAGGGAAACAGTTGATGAGGCGCTACAGAGACCCAGGATTATTGCCCTCATTAAAAGGTAATTTAAAGCTGGCATGGATTTTGTGTTAGCATCTTGAGAGTCTGTAAGCCAGGCCACCTGTTACTCTTCTGTGGCGGGATCAAGAGTGGTTGGGGAGCCCTGCCATCAGCAGGTGGGGAGTGGGGGGGGACAGGGCACTCACCCTCTTGTCAGAACAGCTCCGTTTTCCGAGCCTGGGGCCGCCGCCTCCAGCACGCCGGGGGCTTTCACTGAGATCCGGGCCACCGGAGGAATCTGGGTGTTGCGGAAGGGGAAGGGAAGGGGAGGATGTGGCCATGGTCCCAACTCTGGCACTGACTGGAGCCAGCTGAAAGGGGGGTGACCCCATCGACCCACTGCCCAGGATGATAGTCCTCACACTTTGGCAGGCATCAAGGCTCCCCTGTGGGGCTTGTGAACACTGTGCGGGGCCTACCATAGTTTCTGATTCAGTAGGTCTGATGTGGGCCCAAGAGTATGCATTTCTAATAAGGTCCTGGGTGCTGCCTATCCCAGGACCCCACTGAGAACCACTGACCCAGAGAACTTGAGAGCACAACTCAATCTTACCTGACAAATCTGTCCCCAACCCCCCCAACTCCCCTTGCCTGTGTCCGCTTTGTTGTCAAATCCTGCAGATTCGTGCTTTGAAAGACTGCCTCAGTCAGTGCCATCCTCCGCATTTCCTCTGCTGCAGCCTTCGGCTCCAGTCACCTGGGACCTCCTTGCTTTGGACCAGACCCACCACTAATCTCAGCCCCCCATGGATTTACAGCACCTCCCCATAGCAGGCGGGACTGATGCCAACTCTGGAAGCACAGGCTCCTCAGAGCCCGGCTCCCCTTCATCTATGCAGCTCTACCTCTGTTACCCCCCGTGGGTACTGTGACAGCTCCCATTCCAGCGGGGCCGGCCTGGCCTCTCCTCTTGCTCACGCTCATTCCCATGCACAACAAACCCTTTCCTCATGCTCCTGCACAGCACCGCATCGTGCCTCGGCTTTTCCTTCACCCTCTGGATGGAGCCTCATCTCTGCCTGCCATTCAAGGCCACTTCTTCCCAGAGGCCCTTCCTTAGGCTGGTGGCCTAAGTTGATTTCTCTCGGCCTTTATGCCCCATGTCCCACAGTATTGAGTACCTATGTGATATGTTCACCAATTCTTTCTACAGTTCTCTTCTTGTTTCATATGCTTGTCTAGTCTCCCAGTCCTCAGAAAGGTGACATGGTGTGTGTCAGGGTCTGTCACTTAATCCCTTTGGTGGCCCTCTGCAGCCCTCCTAAAGGAGATGGTGAGTGCTCAAGAAGCATGTGCTGAATGGAAAAGTAACTGACGGCCTAACGGGCTAAATCCAGAATTTGCTTAGTCAACGGGCATATGCTATGCTTTGTTCCTTCACCCCAACCCCATTGAAGGCTTTGGGTCACCACATTCCTGGAATGGCTGGGAAATTCCAGGTGGAGGACATGATGATTAACTGTCCCCTTCTCTGCCTAGCTGGCCAAAGTTTGTGGACAGAGTTACTGTGCCACCTTGTGGCCTCTCGGGAGCTCTCCCTCCCCACAGTGCCAACAGTCCAGCCCCGGGAACATAGACCCGCCTCTCCTTCTCCAGAGTCCTTAGTCCTCCTCCAGTGCATGTCAGCATTGAATCAATTAGCAATGCTAATTGCACAATTAGTTGTGCAAGCTCTGAATCATTCTCCCACCCAGGGATAAGGGGCCTCTGATGAGCTGCAGGACCCTCAGGGGAAAGTCAGTCATGCTGCCTCTTTGTCATTGTGTCCACAGGACCACCCTATCGCATCCCAATTCATCCTGGCCTCCCAGATGCAGGTACCTCTGCGCCAGAGGTACTGTGTGAGCCCAGCCCGGGGGCTTGCGGCAGGTAATCCAAGGCTGTGAGCCACCCTCTTCCCCTTAAACTTGGTCTTCCTCCGGCCTCAGCTGAGGGCAGCTCTTTGAGCTGTCACAGCCTGACAATCAATGGCAATGGCCCAGGCTTCCTCAGTTTCTCTCGAGTACTAGGTTGGGGCAGGGGGCTCCTGATAAAACAGCTTGGCCCATCCCTGCCCTTTGTGTGGTTCTCCTAGTACAGGGATGACCTAAATGAGGTATTTGGATTAGATTTTAGGCTCAGATGGGGAGTGAAGGGCTCACTGTCCAATTTGTTCCAGAAGGATGAGGGGGCTGGCCCACACAATCTCCAGGGTCTTTTCTAGTCCTCACGTGGCATGATCCACCAATCTGGAGAGCTGCTGCTCACAGAGCCCAGGATGCCCGAGCTGACCTCACCTCTAGCCGCGGTTCCGCCCCTACTGTGCCACCCCAGACGGTACCCACATAGACGCCCAGAAGATGATGCAGGAGATTTTTTTTTTCCAGAGTAACCCTGAGCTAGCTCTGGATGTGCGCCCCCTGATCGCCCTTCAGGGAAAGAAAAGTTGCCACCAGTGGGGCAGGCCACGTACCATGACGGAGCGAGGAAGAAACAAAGGTTTGACCATTTGGGCTCAACTCAGGACAAGGCGGTTGGGTAGCACTGGCCCCAGAGCTCCCGCCAGGAGGTATCCGGTGCGCACAGCAGTTCAGCCTCTGTGCAAGCCGACCTCTCTTCTCCTGTCACAGGTACTGATCCCTAATACACATCTCAAAGCTCCTACCCCGCATCTTAGAGTCTGCCTCCAGAGACCCTGAACTGGAGCAGATGTCCTCCAGAGGTGGCTTGACCAGAGATGCCTGGTGTTTTGTGTTTTCACAACGTTTAAGACCCTTGCAGCTCTTTACCCCCATAGCTGCCCCTGGGAATTAGGTGTTTCCACCTGACACGTGCCTACCACAGAAACCACTTCTTTCCCCCCATGTTTGAGATGTCCTCTAGGCAATACCTTCTTCTGTTTGCCTAAAAGCTGAATTTCTGGCAAGAAGGAGAACAACAGTGGTGTGCTGTGAGCTGATAGACTTTAGGAGCAAAGAACCCTCAGGTAGGCTTTTCTGATAATCCTTGGGCCTGAAACAAAGGACAGGGTGAGAAGTTTAAAGCACAATGGATAGAACTAACCAGGCTTATTTTACTTACCAAAGACTTTCCATATGCTCGATTCCCACACAGATTTGATGATTTGGGTTCCGAACTCCCCACTGCAAAGTTGAACAGAGAAGACATTACTCAGTGGTACTCTGTGTTCTACTTCCCCCCTCTTCTGCATCAATGATCTCATTAACTAATCAATCACAAGCTGGGAATTTCTAAAGGCCTTTGCCAAGCAGCAAAATCAGGCAGTAGGGTCAGGCAATGGGGCAACTGTCGAGTGGGTCACCTGTACCCCTGGCACTCTTCCAGGCGTGGGGTGGGCAGGGAGGGTAGAACTAAGGTCTAATAAGATCATGTGTGTGGAAGCATTTAGTACTGTGTCTGCAGGCAGTAGGCGCTCAGAGAATGTGCCCTTAGCTTGTCCTTCCTTCCTAAGGTGCCACATCACAAGAGGTTATCAGGAGTTAAGTCTCTACTGCTGGGATCGATTTTGCTTGCTGATCCTGGACACTCTGTGGAAATGAGCAGAGAAGCCTGCCTGCGGTGGGAAGCACAGCTTCATGATGTGTGAGGGTTGGAGATTATCTGAGTCCTGAGACATTGGCTACACAGGACTTACGTGAGAACCTTCTTGCTATGCCTTTATTCCTGAAGCCCGACCTACTTCTGAGTTATCTCTACCCTGAAGTCTGCAGCTTCTGAGAATGCAGGTGTTGAGCTGGCAACAGGTAGGGGAAAGTTGGCTTTCAATACAGTCCTCTCCTTGGGCGACATTCCAGAACGAGCCCCATCCTATCACACTATAGCAAATACAGATAAAACACTCCCCAACCCAAGGAAGAAAACATTTCAATGGCAATAAAATGAAATTACAAGACTACCAAGATTAAATCATAACGTACAGTGCTCTGGCATAAATAATAACAGCAGCTCATAGTTTTGAGTATTTACTGTATCAGGCACTGTGCTGAGTATAAAACACATAAACATTATCTCATTTAGCCCTTACCATAACCCTGTTAGGTAAATATCATAATAGTCCCCACTTTCCAGATGAGGAAATCGAGGCTTTGGAGAACAGTTAGAAGAAGCCAGGTTAAGGATGATCTAGGGAATGGCAAACTGCTTTGGGGGTCTTTCAGGGCTGGAGAAATGTGACTGTGGGACACCCTAACCCAATCTGGGAGGTATTTGCCAGGTAGAGAAAGGACAATCTGCAGAAGGGACAGGGTCAGGGAAGTTCTGGGAAACAATATAATGGAGCAGTCACAGAATTGTACTGCAGCTCAGGATTTCTGTGGGTATGGCTGGGTGGGGACAGGAGTGTGCCCTGGAGAAGTCAGCAGAGAATGGATTTTGGAGGGTCTTGAACATAATCTGGAGGGCAGTGGGGGTAGGAAGGACACTGAAGCAGAAGGATGGCAGAGGTAGATTTCTGCTTTAGACAGACCCCTCTGGTAGCCTTGTAGAGGGAAGAAGGACTGGTGGCTGAGGGCCAGGGTTGGATGCTACACACCAGAGATGAAGGGGGTCTGCGCCCAGGTAGCCTGAGGTAGGTACCAAGAGGGAGAGATGAGACATATCCAGGAGTTGACATTGTCAGTGTTTAGTATGTGACGTGGTGGGTGGAGTGGGGGTGGGGAGGACAAGGGGGTGTTAAGGAAAACATCCCAGCTGAGAAAGGAAGACAGGTTTGAAGGAGGAGGCCACATTCCATTTGAACAAGCTGATTCTGAGGTGCCTGAGGACATCTTGGTGGAGACATTCCATAGGCAGCCAATTCTCCAGGGCTCAGGAGGTGGTTGTCCCCATTCCAGGCATTTGAGGCTCACCTACCCAGGGCCTCATGGTGAGTTTCTCAGCTGGGTCTCTGCCTTCAGAGTCCCTTCAATTTCCAAGATTCCTCAGAGAATCTTTCTCCCACATGAGAAGGCCACATCATCCAGGAGCCTTCTCCTACAGCTCAGAAAAGAAGTAAGCCCCCAGATCTGAGATCCCTGGAGATACATGTCCTTCTGATGGGAGGATGGAAGACTCGGTGCCCAAGCCTTTCCCGTGGAAAGCCCTGGGTCTGGCTTTGACTCAGAAACCCTCCGTCTCCCCCAACCTCCCTCTGGAATCTATCAGATTGGGGGAGCTGAAGGAATTGAATCAATGCCCAGCTCAATTTTTTTTTTTTTAAAAAAACCTGACTAGCACATTCCCTGCATGAGCTGACTGTCACATGTTGGGCAGATTCTCTGCATTTCATTACTTAGTGTTCTCTTATAGAATAAAAGACTGACTTGGACAGTCAAGCTTCCACAAGCTATTTAGGAAGGAAAGTGGCCCCTAAAACTAGATGGTTGGGAAGAAATTATTCTCCGGGGGCGGGGGATAGAGGCATTGGCTAGGAAATTAGAAGAACTAAGATTTAATTTCAGTTCTGTTGCTAATAAGCAGTGTGACTTTGGGTTAAACAGCTTCTATGGTTTCAGTTTCCTTTTCTGTAAATGGGCATGGGGTGCTGCAGATCAGGGATCTGCTACCTTCAGTGTGCGTTAGAATCACCTGGGGGGCTTGTTAAATCAGAGATTGCTGGGCCCCACCCCAGAATTTGATTCAATAGGTCTCAGGTGGGACCCAAAATTTACATTTCCAGTAAGTTCCCAGGTAATTCTGCTGCTCTGGGGACCCCACTGTGAGAACCCATTTGACCGTCTCTAAATCCTTGCTAATCAATATATTGTTCTCAGACCAACATCATCATCATCATCTGGAAGCTTTTTAAAAACATAAAATCTGGGGCCCTACTTAGTCCTACAGAATTAGACTCTGCATGAAAACAAGATTCCCAGGTGATTCTTTTGCACATTAAAATGTGAAAAACACGCCTGTAAATCTATTTATGATTTTGTAGCGATGATATTCTTTTTCTCTTTCTACACACACATGCACTCACCCACCCACCTATATATAGACACAGAAAAATTTATCTCCTCTTAATTTGCAAGGCAGATTGTGGTTTTCCTAATGCTTTCACTCTACATATGTGTATATGTAATCACTTAGCTAGAGAGTATCGCTTGATTTATGTGTTATTATACATTAGATCATAAAAACAGGATCAGGGTGTTACTGATCAAAGAAAGCTTAGGGATCCAGTCGAGCATCTCTAAAGAAGGAGAGAAGATGGATAGATGAAGAGAGATACTCGATGAAGTACAATTTCTGTTCTTACAACATACAAAGTTGTTGACAGCCGAATGCCTTGAGAAGGACATCCCAGACTTTCTATTGTGCATTTTTGGAGTTAAAATAGGAATTACTTTAGGCTGTGGACATAACAGAAATAACCTAAACCAGCAATTAAAGGCAAAATACCACCACAGACTTCACCGGGCTAGGCGCAGATTCCCGTTGAACTGCTTGGGGTGGAGGCCATTTTTAAAAATAGTGCTGAAGGTAAATCTATAATGTTTCCAGTTTTCAAAACAAATTTTTCCCTAAATTCTTTTTAGAGATTGTTCAAATAGCCCTAAGCCACTCACATTTACAATGGTGAGATCTTAAGTTGGCAGTTTATGAAGAGCCCGTATAATTACATACACAGCCTGTAAAATAAATAAGGTAAGCTTCTGTTTCTTCATGAGTCATGTCTACACTAGTTTTTTCTCTCCCCCGGAACATAATGATTTTCATCTGTCGAACCCAGCTGGGCTGCCTGGGGGAGCCAGGTGGCAGATAAAAGCATCTGTGCTCGCCCAGGAGTGTATTTCAGGTAGGTGTTTTGTGTTGCTCTGTAGGTGGGGCCCGAGAGCAGGTGCACTTGGAGCAGGAAAGACCCGCGCCGAGAAGGGGAGGGGCGGGGCGCGTACGCCCCACGCCACAGGTGCTGCGCTCACCTGGCGTGATGGAGGACGCCAGCGAAGAGCCCGACGTTGTTGGAAAAGACAAGCCAGGCCGCAGACCCTGCGGCTGCTGGTCTGAGCACGTCACCGCGCGCCCCCCCCCCAAGGGAGGTTCCGGGGACTCGATCCAGCGCGCACGTACCGGGTCTGGCCGGGGCTTTGGCAAGGTGGGGCCCCTGCGGCCGCGCGCTGTGCAGCCGGCCCGCCCTGCGGCCCTCGCCGTCGCGGCGGTCGCTGCGGTCGCTGCGGTGCGGCAGCAGCTCCAGGGGCCGCGGCGTGTAGAGGTCTGACTCGATCACCACCTGCCGGGAGGAGGAAGGACAGTCAGCTTGTGCCTCTCGGATCTTCAGACGCACCTTGGGCCCACAGTGAATTATCGGAGTTTTCCTTGCCCCAGCGAATGCTAGCAGCAGTGAGAGAACTTGGGGTAACTGGCCTCCAACAGGCAACCGTTTTATTTCATCTCAGCGTGCCAAATAGTGCCGTGGTGCAGGATGATGAGGGTTCCTGGAGGGGTTCGGGTTCCTCACCAGCAGTCCCTTCACAGAGTCAGCAGCCTGGGCCATCAAGCCAAAAATGTCCCCTGCCCTAGGACCTGACCTGGTTTGGCAACAGAACAGGCTATTTGAAATGATGACAGTTCTGGAAATCAGGGTCTTACAGTCCTTGCGCTAAGCAGACACCTTCGTTCACACAGAGGATAGCTTTTTGAATGCTCTCGCAGAGAGAAGAGCTAGGGAGAGGACCCAGGGCCCAACTCATTCCCAGGTTTTAAACAGAAAGAAGTTGCTGGTACAACCCCACATGCTCACATTTTCCCCCACCTTGCAGAGTGCCTGTGTCAGGTGGAGCTGGGAGATGAATTTCCGCTATGTGTGGTTCGCTAAGTGGAAATTCCCGAAAACCAGACAGAATGCTAAGAGCTAAGGTGTTTTCAGAAATGATCACCTGAATAGTTATTTTGGGAAGTACATTAAGAGGAAATACCCCTTTTGTCAGGACCCACCAAAATGGGCCTTAAAAGTTATAATAAACATACTTAAATCATTGAAATAATTTAAATGTAAAAAAACGAGACAAAAAATACCATACCACTTTATCTTAACACCAAGAGTAGTGAAGGGAATCTTAGCGGTTTTTGGCTCTTATCCTGCATAGTTTTATACATATCCAGGACGTTGGGGTCATCCGTTCTGAATTTCTTCACTCCTTTAAAGCTGGTTGGAATGTCCAATAGTACATGGCAGCTACTCTGAGGTTTGCATTGACTCATTCGCTTGCTCCTTCATCAGATGCCCTGTGAGGGCACATTCTGTGCCAGGTCCCGGGCACTGGGGGCATCTGCAAGTAGGTGGACCCATCTGAGCCCTTGTTCTCTAGCCTCTGATGGATCCCCCCTCACTTGTCCACATAGAACAATTGTGTTGCTTTTGGAGGACGATGAAGCAAATAAGACTAAATTTTTAAATATATATATAATGGGGTGATATTTTGATTTAAGGGAGAAAAATTGGATCTTTAATACTGTTATAAGAAATGGCAGGTCACTGGGGGAAATGGATCTGTGTTCACACGTCTCACACCAAAATAAATACCAGACAGATCCAAGATACATATTAAAAACAGAAAAACACAAAAATTGAATGTGGCTCAATATAACATTTGTTACATATGAAGGGGAATGATCCCTATGTACATATAGAACTCTTACAGATCAATAAAGAAGAGGAAAAGAGAAAAATGGGGCAAAAACCAGGAGCTGGCCATTGACAAGAGAAATACAAATGGTAAACATGACACCACAAACATGAAAAGATGTTGAACAGTAATTAAATGCAAGTGAAAAGAGTTGTTGAGTTTTTTTTTTTTCCTCTCAGATTGCCCATGATGAAGAAGGTAACTCCATTTGTGGTCATGCAGACCTGAGTTCATGCCCCCATCTTGATACTTAGTGGTTCCGTGGAAAGGAGATATTCTTGTGTGTCCTTGCTGTCTTGGGGTGGAGCAAATGCCTATCATCTGTTTTAGTAGCAGAGCTTGCACTCTTTCTTCAAGCCACATATTTATCTACAGCATCAGGGAGCAGTTCTTGTCTCCCAAAGAGGAAACAAGAAGAAGCTGTCACTCTTTGCTTCAGTTTACCACAAACAGTCCTTTGCTTAGAAAACTAATATATCCCCAATTTGGCCTTATCTGGGTTAGGAAATTAACTCCTCTCAAGCCTATTTTAGGGCCCAGATTCATTCATTCTGTGCCTTTGGAGAAAGCTGATCATTCAGGAGTATGTAGGATTAGCACCTTTTCTCCTCTGGGCACTGCAGAAGGTGGGTTTTTTTCCCCCCAATAATTTAAAATATTCCTTTTTCCTCTCAGCTAAATTGAGATATCACTGACACCTATGATTTGGTAAGCTTAAGGTGTACAATGTGTTGATTTGATACATTTATAAGCTGTGGTATGATTAGAAGGTGGTGGTTCTGTTGGGCTGGGGGCAGCCCTGGGTCCACCCTGCACAAGCTCAGTGGGTGGTCCAGCACTGACCACCCAGCACTAACAGTCTGCTGTCCGCTTTACCTTCCTTCCCCCAGCCCCGTGCTCTGCTATGATGTTGCCCAGAATACTGGAATTTCCTAGGGTAATGGTTGTTTGGAGCCCCAATCCCCAATATTTGGCCTAAGGGCTCTCCCCTGGAATGTGACCCTCCAGGTTAAATAGGAGAGACCTGAGCCTCATTACTGGCACAGAGCTCTTGGCTGTCACAGGTATTTCTGATTTTATTTTCATTCTGTCAGCGTTCTTGTGAGTGAGGAGGAGTGAGACTGGTATGTTTTCAGACCTACTTTGTACAAGGAGAAAGTAAAGCAGGTAAAGAAAGCCTGCGGAGTCCGTGAGGGAGACCCAGCATTTCCTCCTCTGAAAGGGAAGCAAATGTTCCCTTTGAGGAACAAGAAACTCCACCTCCGCAATCGCTTCTCTGCGCTGTGGGGTGGCAGAAGAGAACCGGGAAGGAGAGAGCCAAGAGGCGTTAGCTGCTCAGCCCTCTGCTGGAGGTAGGAGCGACCAGGGGATGGGGATGAGGCTGGTTACTTCCCAGATCATGACTTAGGGCCAAGTGCCCCTTCAGGGTGTCTTCTCCAGTCCCCAAAAGATGCCAGTAGCAGGAAAGGAAAGAGGAGAGGTGCCCAGTTCAGAAGATTTCCCTTTCTTAGCTGGTCTTGTACTTGGTTCTCATTTCCCACAGTAACAGAAGCTCTGAGAGGGCTCCGGGGGGAGAGCGTTGGGCCCACACCAGGAAACGGAGAACTGAACGGATGGCTGTGGCCTCCTGAAAGCCTGGGCTATTTTCTAGTCTCTAGGACACAGTTTGGAGCGGCTGCTGCTGCTGGTGTTAGAACAAGCTGGTCTGAGAGCAGGCTCTTTAGCGGGCCCCCCACCCCAGTACAGGGGTAAGACAAGGGAATGGGGAGAGGGAAGGGAGAGGCGGGTTTAGTGTTGGATTTGCCTTTCCTAGTCAGCAAACTGCCTTCCGAAAGTAGGGGGGATGTACTAGAGCAATAAATTGATGCTCCCCTGCTGGTCTCGGGTTATTGATAGAATAACGGAAGTCGGGCGCCTGGGTGGCTCAGTCGTTAAGCGTCTGCCTCCGGCTCAGGTCATGATCCCAGGGTCCTGGGATCGAGTCCCACATCGGGCTCCCTGCTCAGCGGGAAGCCTGCTTCTCCCTCTCCCACTCCCCCTGCTTGTGTTCCTGCTCTCGCTGTGTCTCTCTGTCAAATAAATAAATAAAATTTTTAAAAAAAGAATAATGGAAGTCATGGGCTAACACTCAAGTCTCAGGATTCCATCCACTGACATCTTCAAGTCACACTTCTGTTTGTTCGCCAGCCTAGGGGGCTGGTAGGGAGTTGGAAGGACAGGTGAGACCTAGGTGATGGAGAATCATCATGACTTAGGGCTGATGGGATCCATAACAATGTTCTAGCCCAACTCCCTAATTTTACACATAGGGAAACTGAGGCCAAGAGAGGTCATGTGTCTTCAGGGTCACAGAGTTATAAGGGACAGAGCCAGAATGAGAGTCGTGGTTTTATGACATCTAGGTGAGTGCTCTTTATAAGACCCAGAGAAGTGCCTACAACCAGATAAGAAATTTCAAGTGTAATCAATCACTCACTGCTTTTTGAAAAATCAGTAAATTTCCAGACCAATTTCTCCCCGATCAGGTTGAACTCTGGGGAGAATGTGACATTTACAATCTCATTTCTCCATCTTTCCTGGTGGTGGTACCGCTGCTCATTATGATGGGGCTGGGAATCAGTGGCCCCCGGGGGGGCCTGACTGCACCCTAGGGATGCTGTGGCACTAAGGATGGTTTAGAGGCGAGAGATCTTTGTAAAGGAGGGAACCTGACTCCACATGGTAGCCCAAGGACAACAGACACAAATAAGAATTTCAGGACAAAGAAAGTCATAAACATTGGTAGACTCAAGCAGTTAGACAAAATATGAATGTTTTCCTTGGGAACTCAAAGGCAGCCAAGAGCCAGTCGAATCAGAGACAATTCTTTCTTTAGGACTCACTTCCCTCATCTTAGGTAGACTAAGACCTTTCTTGTCTTTTCTAATTTGAATGTTCTGTACAGCTGGTGTTGAGGTTTGCAAGCAAAGGATGAGTCAGGCTGTTAGGGGAAAGGAGGAATTTAGAGGAGAGCTCAAAGGCCAGAGGGCATTATTAAGTTGTCTCACCTGGAGAAAGACTGCATAGGTGAAGACAAGATCCAGCTTCTAATTTTTTTCTTAAAAGCAAATTTTAGTACGTATTCAGATACTTGAGTCATTTTTTTTTTCTCTGAGTAAAAATATTTTGGAGAGGGAAAGTCATAAGCCATAAACATAACTGTCTTTCTCAAAAATTTCCACTCCCAGGAAACCTGAGAGCATGGTTCTACAGCGCTGGCTGAAGTCAAGGGGCTCTTCCAGAAGGCTGTGTCCTGTCTTTTGGTTGCTTTGTGTATCTCATCCCCATGAGGCTTCATCACCACCATCTCAGACAACTGAGAGTTTTCTCCTTTATTTAGGTTCAAAATCTCTTGAGGATTTTCTTCCCTAGAACCTACTTAACTATTAGAAAGTATGGTGATTTAGTTTCCGTTTTAAAAGCTTTTGTAAATACTGTTCTGTCCTTATAAAGCCAGTAGATACAGGTATTAGGAGTGATTCAGACATGAACACTGTTTAGGGTTAGAAATTCAAGGCAAGAACTTGGTTGAGAACTAAATAGTCCCAATTCCCAAGGGATCTTTCTGGAGTCATGAATGATTTGTGGCTCTTCAAATCTAGAGTAATGCCAAACTCAAGCCCCTTGACTGAAAAGTCTGTTGTGAAACTTTCCTTAAACTGAAAATTACCCACAAACAACCCCTTCCCTTTCCATTTTTAAAAAGATTTATTTATTTTAGAGCTCGAGTGCGAGTGGGGGAAGGGACAGGGGGAGAGGGAGAGAGGAAATCCTCAAGCAGCCTCCCCACTGAGCACAGAGCCCGAGGTGGGGCTCAATCCCAGGACCCCAAGATAATGAACTGAGCTGAAATCAAGAGTTGCCTGCTTAAACGACTGAGTCACCCAGGCGCCCCTCCCTTTCTATTTTTGGTAACACCCACTCCTTGAAAATCAGGAGCATTTTTCTTTTAGACTGTGGGCTTAAGTTTTCAGGGACCAGGAGAAAGGTAAGAATCTCTTGCCCTACCACAAAGAAATTTTCCATCCATTAAAAGCCTTTTTCTTTCCTTTTTTTTTTTTTTTTTTTTTGCTTTTAAGTAGGCTTCACTCCCAGCACAGAGCCCAAGGCAGGGCCTGAACTCATGACCTGAGATCAAGACCTGAGCTGAAATCAAGAGTCGGATGCCTAACTAACTGCACCACCCAGACACCCCTCTTTTCTTTCTTAATATAAAATATTCTCAAAAGTCATTAAAAAATACAACAACAGAAAAATGTACAAAAGACATGAGTTAAGAACCTATAGAGAAAAAAAATCAAAATCCCTGAAAAGATGAAGAATGATATTAATAATTAAAGAATGCAAATTAAAACAAGATATTTTCACCCATCAGATTGTCAAAGATTAACAACATTGATGACATATAGTATTGACTTCGGTGTTTTGGTAAAGTTACTTTAAAACACAGTTGCTAAGAATTTGGTAATGGCTATAAATTTTTTTCAATGTTCATATCCTTTGAACATTTTCTTTTTTTAAATTGAGATATAATTGACATATAACATTAAGGAGTACAACGTGTTGATTTGATGACCAAGCATTTTCATATCTGTGAATTTATCCTCAAAAATATTTGCATAAGAGCATGAAAAATATGTTCAAGGATATTGCTTACAGCATTGTTTTAGTAGAATTTGGTTAAATAATCTAGAAAACTTCAGATGTGATTTGGGTAGAAAATTATAGTACATTCATATAATGGCATGGTATGCAGCCTTTATAAAGAATGAGGTAGATCTATAAGTATTAATTGGCATGTAAAGATGTTCAAGATTTATAGTTTAGTGAGAAAAGCAAATTGCAAAACAGTACGTTATCGAGCAATGGAGCATAATAATGATATGTTAGTATATGAGAAATTTTCACTTAAAAAACACCAATAATAATTGAATGCTTGGTTTGTGTCGGGCTCTGGACTAAGCACTTTACATGTATTAAATCATTTGCTCTCCAGTGGTTCTTGAGATATGTGCTCCTATTATTCCCATTTGAATACTAAAGCAGTTGAGTTCCAGTATGGTGGGCAACTTGCTCAAGGTTACCTAGCTAGAAATGGATAGAACTGGAATTTAAGTCCAGGCAGTTGGACACTAAGTCTATATATCTAACCATTATGTTCCACAGCTTCTTAGAATTTTCTGATATTATATTTTATATGTTCATAGTATTTGAAATTTTATAATGGGCACATACTACTTTGGGAATCAAAAAAAGGAATGTTTGTAAAAACAACAATGACTAAAACCCCATCTCATTCCCAGGATGCTGAAAAAATTCTTTTTAATGGAGAATAGGCCTTCAAAAATTGAGATACTTAGAAAATAAAAATGGTGTTCCACGAAAAATTGTGATAGAAATAGAAACTCCAGCATAACCAAGAGGAAACAATTAGCAGTTAAACCTTTTCAGTGAAAGTACAAAGATGGATTGACAACTTTTGTATAAAGAAATCTGTAAGTAAAATGAGAAATTTACCGCATCCTTTGGTTCTAATGACATGTAAACTAATTTTAAGGTAATGCAAATGCTTATTAGAGTAGCAAAAGATAATGTAAAAAAAAATGAAAGTCAATGTTAGTGAGGTTGGAGGTAAATGGAAAAGCGTTGCTAGAAGCCTGGCAACTTTTTAGAATTCCTAGTAATATGTGACAAAGCTGTAAGCAGAAATCATTTTTTAAAAAAATCACTATTCTCTACATCTAGCATAGTGTCTCTTACACATGGTAGGCATGAAAATATTGGATGGAGGAATGGATCGATGGAGAGATGAAACTATTCTTATCCTTTTACTTGTTAATTTACCATGGAATTAATCCAAAAGAATAGTATTTTGTACAAATTAATTGCAAAGCTATTTATAATAGTGAAAAAATGGAACATCACAAATGCCAACAACAGGAGAATACCTCAGTCAGGGATGCTATACTCATCGTGGACTCTTTAAATAAGAACACAGTTTTTTTAGGGAATGAGATTTACTCTATGTGTCTGGGGAAAATGGCAGAATAGGAGAGTCCAGTTCAAGGCTGTTCACTGTCTGGTGGACATTTGTCAATTATTTTGGTGAAGTGGAAGATAGGAAATCACTCAGCCCCAACATGCCATAGAGAAAAACTTCCTGGCTATTGAGAGCAGGAAGAGGAAGTGAAGAAGCTAGATGCCGCTTTTGTAATGAAAACCAATAAAAGGGATCAAAATTGAAGTTGTCCTTACATTCTTGGTCAAGAGGTGTTGAGAGCTTTTGACTCTTCTTCTGGCTGGACTGGACACTGCAAAGAGAGAGAAAGGAATGGTTTTAGAGAACACGGGTGAGGCTGATGTAGCCTCAGAGAGGGTTTGCACCTGGAGTGGGAGGGGCGAGGCGGAGGGGAAGCAGGGAGGATAGGCAGGGTGTAATTACAATTTTAGATGTTACTTGGCTGAGTGCACCAAAGTTCATAACAGCATTGTTCATAGTAGCCAAAAGGTGGAAACAACCCAAGTGTCCCCTAACAGATGAGTGGATAAACAGAATGTGGTATATGCGCACAATGGAATATTATTCAGCCTTAAAAAGAAATAAAATTCTGATACATGCGGTAACATGGATGAACCTTGAAAACATTAAGCTAAGTGAAATAAGCTGGACACAAAAGAACAAATATTGTATTAGTCCACTTATATGAGATACCTAGAGTATTAAACTCGGAGACAGGAAGTAGAGCAGAGAATAATCTCTTCATTACGCCATGACAGATTTATTTCTTCATGTTGATAATGATGATGTAATCATAATAACGATAGTTGGCATTTATTGCCGGGAGTATTTCTCCTTACATTTGAAGGGAAGAAGGGAATGCGGAGTTGTTATTTAACAGGTATAGAGTTTCAGTTAGGGATGATGAAAGTTCTGGAAATGGATAATGGTGATGTCTGCACAACAATGTGAATGGATCTCATGCCACAGAGCTGTACACTTAAAAAATGCCTAAATGGTAAATTTTATATCATGCATGTTCTACTACAGTAAAAAGCTTTAAAAAATCAATTAAGCATTAAAAAATGTTGGTTGGAAGAAGGTGTGTATTTTGTTGAAAATGGAGATACTCAGGCATCTCTTTTCCATATTGCTGCTAAAATGATTTACTCGGAACTGACATCCCACCATGTCACTGCCCTGCCTAGAACTGAGATGACTCCTTGTCACATATCAGATAAGTGATCAGATGAGTGCTGGGTGATGGTATTTTCTGCAGAGCACCTACAGCCGTGAAACCTGTTGTCCAGTACACTAGTTAGGAGGATTCCTGACTCCCTTCACTTGAGTGCGAATCAGAACTGGACCACTTGCCACTTATGTGACTTGGGCAAATAACTCATCCTCTCCACACCTTCCTCTCGTCTGTAAGACAGGGGGGAATAATAGCACCCACCTCAGAGGGCTGGGACAAGGATGAAATGAACTAATTTTTATAAAGCCCTTAGTCCAGTGCCTGGCAAAGAGTAGGTTCCCAGGAATCAATGGTGGTTATTATGATTGTCCTCCATCTCTGCAAGCTGAAGGCAGGGGGAAAGAATAGGTGATGACTTCTAGATCCTATAGCATTCCATTAGGATTTCTCTTTCTGGAGTTTTCTCCATTTCCTCCTGCTGTTCCCCGATTCTTCTCCCCAACCCCTCCCCATTGTTGTTTATTCTCAAGAGAATTATTTTGAACGCCGTGGTGCTGTTCACTCTAGAATTAAACCCCCTCTGGTGTGTCTCAGGAAATAACTTCTGGTCTAACTTCTTGGTAAAACCACAGCTTTTACTTTTTGTATTTACTGTGAATTGTGTCTATGAATTTTTTTTTTCCCTTAAAGGGCTCTCTTTCTCTCCAGAAAGTAAAAATCCACACTTGTCCTCGGCTATAGACTTGGTATCTATGTCCCATGCCTTTAAAATACTTAAGTGACAGTCTAACACTTGTTGCTGCCATATTTTTGTGAGACATTAAGATGGCTCAGCTAAAAAATACATACAAATATTAAGTTGAACCCAGTATATGTATGTATGGGCGTGTTGGAAAGAAGGATATAATACAACAGTAGCTCACATTGAGCTTCACCAGGTGATGGCTTATTTGGTTTATCTCATTCACTCCTCGTAGCAACTCTGTGAGCCAGGTACTCTGCATTATCCCTATTTTATTGGTGGGGATACTGAAGTTAGGGTCCCACAGTTGATGGTGGGACAAGGCCCTATCCTCTTAACCATTGGCCACACTGCCCTTGCTGCTGAACCTGTGCTCAGAAAATGTCTTGGCTATTTCTGTCATGCTAAACGGTAGCATTGGGAAAAGGGCATCCCACGGAGAACTATAACCCTGTTAGATAAAATGAAGCCACCTTCTATTTCTGTAGGTAAGGAATGTGGGGATGTATTGAAGAGTTACCCATTTCTCTTATAAGCAGTGACTTAAGAAAAGCTAGCACTGTCTTCTCTCACTGAGAGCCCTCTGCTTGATAGCTTTGGAGAAAGCAAGATGAGGCAAAAAAGGAAGTGGGAGGAAGTGAAATTCTTCCATTCACGGTCTAAGGTAAGACTGCAAATACTCCTTTTCTAGAGAACAACTTCCTGAGCAGTGAAATGTCCATGAATACCAATGAATACTTGGTTTATGACCAGGAGATGGCCATGAATGAAAATGGCAAGAAAGAAATACAGGATTCAATATTTATCTTTGAACATAGTCATTGCTCTAAATATGTAATAAAAATAGACATCATTTTGTAAGTGATGTATTTAATGGTGCTTACTACATGCTGGATACTGTTCTAGATGCTTTATATGTTTTTTTTTTAAAGATTTTATTCATTTATTTGACAGGGAGAGACACAGCAAGAGAGGGAACACAAGCAGGGGGACTGGGAGAGGGAGAAGCAGGCTTCCCGCAGAGCAGGGAGCCCGATGTGGGGCTCGATCCCAGGACCCTGGGATCATGACCTGAGCCGAAGTCAGACGCTTAACGACTGAGCCACCCAGGCACCCCAAGATGCTTTATACGTTTTATCTGTATTTCAATTTCCCCCCCATAATAACCCTGGGCGGTAAAGTCGAGCTCTCCCTTTTACAAAAGTAGAAACTCTGGCCCAGAGAGATGAAGTAGCCTGCCCAAAGTCACACAGTGTAGAAGTGACCACAGTCTCTTGGCCACTATGCTAAGCAAATGGAGCCAAAGGTCCTGTTTCAAATGCTTTTATTCAGGTGAAGTGTGACATGGCTCCTGAATTGTTGAATAAGTTTTTAATTAAAAAGGGCTATTCAGCTTTGATTGGTTTCTTCCTCTAAAAATTGTTAAATGGAAAGAAATAACAGGAAATAGACAAAATTTAATATTTTCATATTTGCTTCCAATTTTTTTTCTCATGTAAAAGAAATAAAAAACTAGGCAAGTTTAGATTCCCTTTCTACTCCCCCCTTATCCTTCTTCCACTCCCCCCGAGGGCCAGTAAGATCATTAATTTTTTCTGTATCTTTCCAGCCTGTTTTCATACTCTTTCTGAATATGTATCCGTAAGTTGTTTTGTATTGCCAGATATAGTAATTGTTATCATACATATAAAATTTTCAGCCGGCCTTTTCTATTTTTTTCCACTCAACATTATGCTTTTGAGATCTGTATCCATACACACAGATCTAGTTCATCCCTGTTGACAACTGTGGAATATTCCATAGTACGATGACACCGCATTTTACCCCCTCCCCTCCTCAAGGACATTGAAGCTATTTTCAATCTTGCCCTCCCAGAATCAATGCCCCTGTGAACATCTGTGAGTAAGAGTATCCAGAAGTGGAAGTGCTGGGTCAGAGGGTCAGCTTTGACTTTCCAGGTACTTCGAGAGTCTCCAGACAGAGTTCCAACTCCTGCACGTGGGCAGGCTTCTCGCTCTTTTCTCTCTCTATGTGGCAATGGATGTCAAAAGCTTTATTTATGTTCTGCTGGCTGTCTCTTTGTGACCAGGCTGAGTCTCTCCCTGCCCCCAGCCCCCAGCAGTGGCCCTGTCAGTGGCTGACACGGGAAGAAGAAAGGGATTGTTTGAACAGGGGTCACAACACCAGCAAACATCCAGCCCCCTTCATTCAAGTCTGACAATGAGACCGGGGCTAAGCCAGAGTCCCAGGCTCTGCCAGCAAGGCGGAGGCCATGGGGAGAGAACAGAGGGAGCAGGAGAGAGGGCTGAGCTTTGGAGGGGGTGAGGGAACTGTCCAGTAACCAGACACCTGCTGTCCGCTGAGCTCGAACACAAAGCCCTCTCTGGGACTTGACACCATTCACCCCGAGCACAAGAACTGACAGAGTCACACGTTTTGGTGACGCTAGTTCCAGGTGAAGTTTGGGAGCAGGGCCCTGGGATCTGTGTTAGAGGCCAGCCCTGGGTCAGGGCATTATTTGAGCACTTTATTAGACTTCAGGCCACTGCCGGGAGTATTTCTCCTTACATTTGATGGCATGGTTAGAAATCATACTTTTGAGCCAGCTGGTTCTCATTTTAGAGCCCACCTGCTCGTTGGAGAAGAAGAAAGAATCTTTCTAGCTGCACTGGGAATTTTGTTTTCATCTCTGTTTCCTAAAACAATGGCTTGCTGTCACTTTCATTCACATATTGGGTTACCAGTACTGAACTAAGTGGAACTGGGAGCATTTAACTGCCCTCATTCCCCCCACCCCTTTGATGGATTGTTTCACAGTGACTGATGTTTATCCACGTACCTCCTTTTCAGAAACAACAACAACAACAATAACAAATACCATCACAACAGCGAGCCCATCAACCGCTCTGAGAGACCTGAGGATAAGCCATAGTAAAACGGCACGTGATTGTCCTTAACCTCTGGCAGAAGGTGCCGCGGTGAGGAAACCCTCAAGGGCAATTTTACTCACCCTTGGAAGGGATCACGGTGGTGAAAACTTCTATATTTTCATCACTGCAGCTGTAAATCTGATGCATCGTTTCAGCCTTCTCTCCCCCAAAGTGCCGGGAACCGGAAGCCTCTCTCTGAACCCCTAGTCGCGAGGTTTCCTAATCCAGTCTGGCTCGGGGATCATTGTGCAGGTCCACAAAAGACAGCCTGGTGCTGTGATCTCATCTCATTCCAGAGTCTTCACTGCAACATTTTCTAATCCCATCTGTCTTTTTTTTTTTTTTTTTATGAATCCTATTATTGTAAACCTTTGATTGAGCGTGGAGGCTTCAGTCCCCTCCCAGCCAGGACGTATTTAACATTTTTATTTTGCCGTGTCTGCCGCAGTGATTTTGGAAGTCTTTTGTGAAGTAACGATGAAGTGAAATCGCCGACTAGGTTAGCGCCAAGCTTGGCTGGAGAATTTCACCGAAAAGGAAACGTGGATTTTGCTACCAGCAATTACCCTTTTCATTTCAGAAAGGAAGGGGGCTTTTTTTTTTTTTTCCCTCCAGAAGAACTGGATATTCAGTAATTTGTCATGTGTTAATTTGGCATCCTTCTAAGTTTCTATTTTAAACAAAGGGACTGTTTCTCCAGAGCGTTTTCCCCTCATGCCAGTACATGACAAGGCTGACATTTCTAGAGAGCGGTCTATTTAGCATCTTCTTGTACAGCCCTTCAGGTGCTTGCAGAGACATGGTAACAAGCAGTGCCCTGACACCCAAGGTGGCACAGGAAGATTAGATTTACAAGAAGATTGTATTTTTATTACCCTAAATATCCTAATATATATTATCCTATATATTCTGTCATCCTATATTTATGTAGAATAATACATATCCTATATTTTGTCTTATATATTCTATGTATACACACAGAAATAAGGTATGTCTGAAATGTATGTGTATTGTGTCAAACCCACCGTCTTTTGTTACGCCATGACAGGTTTATTTCTTCATGTTGATAATGATGATGTAATCATAATAATGATAGTTGGCATTTATTAAATGCTTGCTAAGAGCTAGGAAGCGTGATGTATAATCTCATTTAATGTCTACAACCACCCAACAAGACTAGCCATTATTTTTGCCATTTTATAGGTGAGGAAACTGAGGCCTGAAGAGACTGAGTAATTTGCCCAAGATTAAAATACCTAGTTTCATGGCAGAACTAGGATTTAATCCCTAATTTGATTCCAAAATCAATGTACTTAATCATTAAATTATACTCCATTCTTTACTTCCAAAGCCTTGCCCCCTACTTTTTTTTATGATGTTATGTTAGTCACCATACATTCATCATTAGTTTTTTTTTTACATTTTTTTTTTTTTTTTAAGATTTTATTTATTTGACAGAGAGAGACACAGCGAGAGAGGGAACACAAGCAGGGGGAGCGGGAGAGGGAGAAGCAGGCTTCCTGCTGAGCGGGGAGCCCGATGCGGGGCTCGATCCCAGGACCTTGGGATCATGTCCTGAGCCGAAGGCAGATGCTTAACGCCTGAGCCACCCAGGCGCCCCTACATCATTAGTTTTTGATGTAGTGTTCCATGATTCCTTGTTTGCGTATAACACCCAGCGCTCCATTCAATACATGCCCTCTTTAATACCCATCACCAGGCTAACCCATCCCCCCACCCCCCTCCCCTCTAGAACCCTCAGTTTGTTTCTCAGTCCGTAGTCTCTCATGGTTAGTCTCCCCCTCTGATTTCCCCCCCCTTCATTCTTCCCCTCCTGCTATCTTCCTCTTCTTCTTCTTTTTTTTTTTGACATATAATGTATTATTTGTTTCAGAGGTGCAGATCTGTGATTCAACAGTCTTGCCCCCTACTTTGAACCTGGGGTTTCAAAGCCCATCTTAGACTTGGACTTGGTATCCACTGCTCTTTCTATAGTAGACAAATTTGGGGCGTTTACTCATCAGTTAGTTGTCAGTATTACACTTATGTCTCAGAATTGCACCTAGCCACACAGGATGGCTCTGGGGAGCCATGCTTATTCTCTCTGAATTTGTCCCCTGGACCACATTTGACTGGACCAGGGTAGACACAACCCAAACTGCTGCCTCCTGGGAACAGAATTTGGGCCTTAGGCTGGGGCCAGAGGGCAGGTATAAACTCTAAATATCTAGGTGGTTCTCAGGGTCATTGGGGGTGAAATTGAGGGGAAGCCAGTGGAAATAAATGGAACAGATGGTCTGGACAGGGCCTGAGGCCTGAATGCAAATCCAGGGTAAAGAGTTTTAGCTGGGGGAGGGGAGCAAGTACTTTCACCTTGATGCATACTTGGTCTGTGGTTACCTATACAGGTGGGTGAGAGCCAGTGCAAGGGATGGGGGTTGGGGGGTCAGCGAAGTATTGGAAAAGTGAGGGATGGGTGTGGAGAATTGAGAAAGAGCACAAAGAGGCAGAGATAAGGGAGGGACTGAAAAATGGTTCAATTTGATAGTTTCCAATGAGATACCTAGGTCTCTATCTGATAAGTTTCCTTTTTGATTAAGTAGGTTTTGGTCATTTTCAGGTAAAAAGACATGTCTATAAATTTTATAACCTCCACACTGATTACATTTTTAAATAATAGAAAATTTAGAGGAATATCTAAATAGCAAGCAAGATCCAAAATTATGTTAACAGACTGTAGGTAACTGCGGTCCTACTGAGCACTGTTCAGGAAAACCAAGACCCTGTTCGGTACTTCAGTTTAAAAAAACAAAAACAAAAAACAAAAAACAGACTGTAGGTAATAAAACATACATGGAATTTAATAAAACTAAATGTAAACATTAATCTTTACATTAAAAAATTATACAGAATTGGGGTGACCTGGTTTAGCAGCATTTTATTAAAAAGAAACCTGGAGTTTTGGTTAACCACAGGCTTAATAAGAGGTAATAGTAAAGAGTAGGGGCTAAAAGACACAAACATAGTTTCAAAGACCTGATACTAAATTAAAATTAAGAATCTTCTAGGGTAGGGGCGCCTGGGTGGCTCAGTCATTAAGTGTCTGCCTTCAGCTCAGGTCATGGTCCCAGGGTCCTGGGATCAAGCCCCGCATGCGGGTCTCACTGCTCAGCGAGAAGCCTTCTCCCTCTCCCACTCCCCCTGCTTGTGTGCCCTCTCTCGCTGTGTCTCTCTCTCTGTCAAATAAATAAATAAATAAATAAAATCTTAAAAAAAAAAAAAAAAGAACCTTCTAGGGTACCCAGGAGCCAGTCAGGGTCACCTGGATTTAATCTCAAGGAATCCTGGCTGGATTAGGTTTTTTCTAAGACAGCCCAAACTTAGTCAATTAGAGTATATTGTATTATGCTTAATGAATAAGCCTGAAACACAGAACTAAATAAGCTAATGTAACGAAACACACCCAGAGAAAAACAATTCTTAAGAAATCATTTTTACCTGTTGCAAATATTTTTGAAGTAATAAGAATAATACATGCTTATTTTAACACATTCAAAAATTATAGATGGGTATACAGAAAAAGTGAAATCTACTTCCCCTATTCTAGCCCCACTTCCTAAAAGCAATCATTGTTTACAGATTGGTGGTGCATTTCCAGATTTGTTTATGCTTATTTATATATATGAGCATATATATAAATATATATATAAATAATTTAAAAAATAGAAGTGGAGTCCTACTACACATACACATACATATGCATGCATGCACTCATTCATGTGTGAACATTTATAGTTCCCATTTTTAAAATAAATGTGCAGAAGACTACTGCACTGTAAGAATTTGTCCACTCCTTTTTTAAAAAAGATTTTATTTATTTGAGAAAGAGAGTGCTCACGGGGAGGGGGAGGGTCAGAGGGAGACGCAGACTCCCCGCTGAGCAGGGGCTAAACTTGCCGTGGGGCTTGATCCCAGGAGCCTGGGATCATGACCTGAGCCCAAGGCAGACACTTAGTGGACTGAACCACCCAGGTGCCCCTGTCTACTTTCTTGATAGACCTATAGCTTATTTCCATTTTTAAAAATTAAAAACAATGCTGCAAAGAACATCCTTATATATGTATCCTTATACATGTCTTCTAACTTTTTTGTAGGCCACGTTTCTAGTTGTGAGTGGGTCATAGCATAAGGGTGTTTAAAATTTTGAGGGACCACATTGCCTTCCAAAAATTCTGCATCCCTTGACACTCTCACTAATAGGATATGAGGGTCTTATTCCCCACACCCTAGGCAATACTTATTATCAATTTTTTTGCCAAAATTATACTGTTTGGCTTTTGGGCTCTGAGCCAAGAATCTTGATCATATTAGATAGTTACGGGGCTCCTTGCCCAGAGATCTTACCATCCATGAAGGGGAGGATGGCTGAGACCTCGTTTTGGAATATAAACTCTATAATCTGTATGCAACAGTTGAATACACACCACACCCGTGAGTCTTGGCGGCCGCCCCTGCCAGGGCAAGCCGAAGCCTAAGTCAGGCAGTCTGTCCTGGTCTGGGTTCCTCTTCTCTCAGGTTCTGGGAAGTCAGGGATGAGGACTCTACACCGTTGGCATGTGGATGCCCACTTACTTTCAATTTTAAAATTCTGTTTCTACCCTGTCTCAAAGGGCAGGCAAATCATGTCAATGGAAGACTGTATTTATTTATTGCATGCTTGGCTACCTATCTGCCTGGCTAATGGGGAGGGCTGAGTGGTGCTGCCTGTGTTTCTCCAACCTCAGAGTTCTACCCTCACAAAGATGCTAGCAAGTTTCATTTCTGTTGAATCCTAAGCAATGCTTCTCAGTCTTTAATGTGATAGGAATTAGGGCCTTGTTAAAATGCAGATTCTGACTGCATGGCTCTGAGGTGGGGTCTGAGAAACTGAGTTTCTAGGGGGCCCCCTTGAAACCCTGGTTGTTGGCGCCAGGGCACACTTCGGAATTAGAACAAAAAGTTCATTTTAGGAGAGCAGACATTCCTGACCCAGAGGCACTAGCATTATGAAGAGCTCAGGTCCCTCACCAGACTGTTTAAATATGATTCTCCAGGGCCAAGGCATAGGTATTTAAAAACACCCCTGATGATGATAATATGTGGCTGGG